CTCTAACCATTCATTGATGATGATATATGATGAGATAAATCAGTATTGCAGCAGCCCTTCTGAAAAGTAGTTAGGGCAAGTTTTGAAGATTTTGGGGAAAAAGTTTTAATTGTTTGCACTGACTTGGGTCAATGGACACAGGACTAAGATCTACCAAATGAGGGAAAGTTTGTCCCATGGATCTGAAAAGCAGGCTCATCTACTTCTGAGGTGACTTAATCTAGGACCCGTGAGAACATTCCCATCATAATATCACATTTTTCCATTGAGAATATTTTATGTCCTTGTTCTATGACTGGACACTGATTTAGTCTTGTGTGAAGTGTGATTTGCTCGATGTGACCTGCTCTTCTGAATTTGTTTACAGATGATCAAAAAGATCATGATGAAGAACAGAAATACAGAGAGAGCAAAAATAAACATCTTACGAGTCAAGTGGCCTACTACCTAGGCTGCCGGCTGAAGACGGAACGTAAGTTCTAATGGTTCACCATCATGGAAGTGCTGAACGATGTCCTGTCTTTACTCTGAGAAACTGAATACTCTCTTCATCAGAGTTTATTTCATTTTTCCCATACTTCTAGGAAAATATAAATTTGTATCTTAACATTTTGTTAAAAATGGATGAGAGAGGCCAAAGCATGTAGCCACTTTTCCACGTCTGCAGAAAGGTGGGTGTGGGACTCAGGGTAAAATCTCAGCCATTGATTCCTGACACAGGCACAGAACCACCTGGTTTTCTCTGCAAGAGGCTAAATCATGTTAACAGGAATCCTCTCTGTACCACAGAAGATTCTGCAGACAAGTAGCGTCTAGTCTGTTGGTCGAAATGTCTGAGGCTTGTGAACTGCCATTCAGTTTAGGCTTCTGCTGAGGTAGAAGGGAAAGCTCTGTTCTGGGGACCTGGAGGAAATGCGGTGATAGCACACAGTACCCGCTGTGGGAGCTTAAATAGGACTCTGCACCTTACATAATCTGATGGGATGTGTTCTTTGGAACAAGAGGCAGCATCTGTCCAGTTGTAAAGGACAAAAAGGAAGCTGTGACAGGAGGGCGGTTGTTGGAGTGGAAAGAGCTCTGGATTAAGAATGAAGGTTCCCAGGCTGTATCTTCAGCAGTGTTTTTAGTTAACTGTCAGCGAGCAATTGATTTCTCCTTCCTGACTTTCTGTCTCTCCATCTGCAAAGTCAGGCAAATTTCTCTCTCTCCATCTGCCAAGGCCGGTATCTTGCAGTGTCTGAAACATTCAAATGTGCGAACACTTATGACCGCTTATCAAAACGAGATAAAGCCCCTCGCTGTGCGGTGTTGGAGACAGCACTTGATGTGTGGGCATTTGGTGTTAGGAAGCGGTTCAGACTGGAGCACTCCCTGTGGAGAGAATGTCCCTGAATAACACAGCAGAAGCCACTTGGACGGCCTGTGACGTCACCTGATGTGCAGAGGATTGTGGGACAAGTTTGTTTGTCCTCTCCTAAGAGAAAGAAACAGGTTTTTTTTTTTTTTTTGAGACGGAGTTTCGCTCTTGTTACCCAGGCTGCAGTGCAATGGCGCGATCTCGGCTCACCGCAACCTCCGCC